TCTCTCTCTCTCACACACACACACACACTCTCTCTCACACACACTCACACACACACTTTCTCACACACACACTCACTCACATGCATGTATATATTTAAGAAAAATGTTATGTTTATATATTAAATATATTTTATAATATAAATTTTAGACATGTAAATGCACGCAAATATTTTCAAAAAATATACTGTATGTGTGTGCATTTAAATATACATAATAAATATACACCGAACACACGCATATATTACGCAAACAAAAACGTTTATTTTGGATGTGATTAATCGCGATTAATCGTTTGACTGCACTAATATATATATATATAGTTATTTTTATTATCATACATCATCATTTTTGTTTAGTGCTAGATGGAAATAATAATAAAAAATCCACAGAAACCATATTTCAACACAAATCCATTAATATGACGTAAATATGAAAAAGTTAGTTTGAATTCCTGAGGTTGACAAAGATTTCCATCTTTGTTGGAAGAAACACATAAAACTCTCTCTCTCTCTCTATATATATATATATATATTTGTGCAAAGGGCCTTGAGGTTCTTTTCAACATGAAAGTTCATTCTCATGCATTACATTCAGACACAATCTTTCTCTTTCACACACATATGAACAGGTTACTCTCACTGAAAATGCTGCGCGACTGCTTTCAGCGGATGATTCCTTCGTTTGATTGTAAATCAACACACAGACATAACGTCAGCCTGCAGAGAAAAACTGCTGAATAAATATTAGGGCGTGTTGTGAAGTTATGAAAGCGTCTGACAGTAAAGCTCTCTTCATGAAGAAACACATCAGATGAGAGCGGATCACATGTGTCATGTGACAGTGTGAGGGTCACATGATGAAGAAGTGAGGTCATGTGACATGCATGCCAGCCCACACGCTCTCTGAATGTTATGGGAACGTTGCACATTTCACAACAGGAAAAAAAACATGCCCTGTTATCCAAAACCTCGCACGCTCCCTACCCAGACAGCATTTCGAGGCATCACACGCATGCTGATTTCTGAATAAAAGCATAACCTAATAGAATTTATAAAGCGGAGAGTTCCGGTCCTTGATTCTGATTGGCTGAGCCACGTTTGAAGCTGTTGTAAATTACTCTACAAAGTAACACACACCTTTGTTTACGTTTGTCTGTTGCTCGGCAACCACTTTGTAGCAACCACAACTGTTTCTGAGGAGCTACATTGTTTGGTGGAAGAATACTGTTTTTATTAATATCATTACACTTTATTTGCTCCGTTTTATTTTGTGAAACCTTGCTACGTATATGGAATAACCGTTTTATTCCATTAGCTGTTATAAATTCACTGTAAACCACGGCTTCTTGGGACTTATTGCTTTATTAAAACAGGACGCTCCAATCAGTGTTATTTTAGATTCATTCATATTAATATTTTGAATTAGTTTTTATTAATATTTTGAATTAGCTATTATTATTATTATTACTATTTATTTATTTATTTTTAATTTCAATTTAATTTTAGTTAAAGTTTTAGGAATTTTGTTGTGTGTTTTTGTCTATATAGTTTTTATTTCAGTTTTAGTACTTCAGTTTAAACTAAATGTAAATGTGAAATGGTGCCTTGGGAATTAAAATATTTCATATATATATAAAAAAAAAAAAAAAAAAATTAGAAATGTTGCCTTGGCAAATACCTGAAATAAAAGCTGAAGATGAAGTACTAAAATGAACATGAAGTAAAATTAATATCAGTGTAATATCTATTTAATATAAATTTGTGTTAATTAAAATAAAAAATAAAATAAATCTGAAATATTAGATGAAAAACTTAAAAATTACTTTGGCAGCCAACTGAAATTAAATAAGATGAAGTACTAAAATTAAGCCAAAGTGGAAAAAAATGTTTAGAATACAAAACTAATAAAAATGAAAAAATTTTAAATGACTGAAACTGAAAACATGTTTGTTTTATGCTTTAGCTACCGATAATAACCCTGGCATCGTGTGGCGTCGAACACAAGCCTGCGCTTCACGCTGCTGTCTTTGTAGAGCACACTTAGGAGGCGTCACGTCAGTTAGGATGCTGTCTATGAAGAGCGTTCTCTCAGGATCTGTTGAAGGCCGCCAGCACGGCCCAGATCACCTCCTCGGCGGGGGTCGTGACCTTTGCACTCTCCAGCTCGGGGTCGGCATCCAGCAGGCTGCGTGAGCGCGAGCAGGCCGTGTCGTAGCGCTCGTCGCTCAGCGAGCTCAGTGTGTTCTCCAGCACGTCTGCGGCGTGCGCTAGCAGGATCAGCGCTAGCATGCGGCGGCTCATGCGGCGCCAGTCGTTGCTCCAGCGCTCCAGCAGACTGTCCTGCAGACGCTGCACCAGCCGCTGCTTCTCGCTGCTGTCCGTCAGCGGGTGCGCGGTCATGTCGAACAGCAGGAAGCTCTGCTTCTCTGTGGTCAGGACACCCTTCTCCACCAGACTCTTCGCCAGGCGCTCGCGCACGTTACGCATCTGGAAGTGCAGCTTTAAGGGGTTCCACGTCTCGCCTGAAAACAAGCAGCAAAACTCATATTTCTGTCATGACGACTCTCGGAGGGATTGGCATGGTAATGTACATGACAATGTTAATGTATTTGGTCTTGGAGGAATAGATCTGCTACGCTGCTGCTGCTGCTGCAATACATCTACAACATGCTGCTGTGAGCATGTAAGAAATACTGCTGCTGCACACATAACATACCCGAAATAACCCCCATATAGCATAC